TCTGGCACATATATATTTGCCAGGGCTTGACATCCTTTGAAATTCAGTATTTGTAAATGGGCAACAGCAGCATATTTACTTAACTTTTGAAATGTACTTGGAAAGAATTTATTCACATACAATACAGGAAAGCTGGGAAACATCATACAAACACAGGAATATGAACACGAGTGAATTGTGATTCAGTGGATTATATGTACACACTGAAGTCACCTGAAATTTAAAGATTCACAGAAACCTAAGCAATGTATTTGAAGTCCAGAGGACAGCCAGAGCATTTTTTCCTCAGAATGCCACCAGTGCAAATGTTTGCATCAAAGTCCTCTGATAAGCAGTGGGGAAATAAAATGTATGTAACTTACTTGCATTTTCTTACAGTTAGAGGCAATTTATTATTTTTCTCATATGATAAAACATTACACATTACACTCTTTTTTGGAGATGGAGTCTCGCTCTGTCACCAGACTGGAGTGCAGTGGCACCATCTCTGCTCACTGCAACCTCTATCTCCCAGATTCAAGCAATTCTTGTGCTTCAGCCTCCCAAGTAGCTGGGGCTACAGGCATGCACCACCATGCCTGGCTAAATTTTGTATTTTTAGTAAAGACGGAGTTTCACCATATTTGCCAGGATGGTCTCTGCCTCTTGACCTGGTGATCCACCCACCTCAGCCTCCCAAAGTGCTGGGATTATAGGCGTGAGCCACCGCCCCCAGCCAAACATTATATATATATAAATATTTTTTTAATTTCAAAACAGTTGTCTGTGATTAATATCCACATGTCCTTGTCTTCCACTAATTCCAAAACCCAGCCCAAGCTGACTGCCACCTCTCTCTGTGCTAAAATAAGCTTCCTAGGGTCAACATTTACTACTGGTTGCTAAATCCATTGGACATTTTTCCAGTGTTGGCCTTACATCTCAGTAACATGATGGCCACCCTACTCCCTCCATCCTGAAGTATCCCCATCTCTTGCTTTTTATGACAATACTCTCCCGTGTCTTCCTCTCCTACTCATTCTCTTTTACTCTAAACTCAACAACGGGAATTACTCTAGTTCCTGTTATCTTCTCAACCTTTGCTCCACATTTTCTGTCGCCCATTCAGATATCTCCTGTGAGCTCCAGACCTGCGAATCAACATCTACTTCACATCTCCATATGGATGTCACAAAAGCATCTCAACACAGCACGACCAAAGCAGACCTCTAGATTCGCCCTCCCTGGCTGGACCTCTTCTTCTCTCCACTGTGTGAAGGTTGATCAACAAAGTGTGTCATTCTTGTTATGCCCAACTAAAATAAAGAGATCATGGTAAAAGCGCTCAAGGAGCAAAACACTGCTCTAAGAATGTAATTCTATGCAAGTGCTGGGGAAACTGCCTACTGCACCTGAAAACAGTTTTATCTAGTAGTTGCTCAAACAATCTCCTGTGACTTTACCTGTTACCATCACTTACCAGTCAAAACTTGCCAGCTCTCTTACTAGTGCCATTAATTCTTTCTTCCCAAATAAAATGTTTTAATTTCAGAGATTTTTCTCTGTATTTTATTTGACTTCAATCACTCAGTGACAGCCACCACATCCATCCAGCTGCACAAGCCTAAAAGCCAGGAAAGCTCTTCCCTCTCCCTCTATATCCATTTTTCATCAAATCCCATTGATGTGCCTCCTTCTCATCTCACAGATCTCCCTGTTTCTCTCTATCTCCATCACCATCTGCTTATCTCTTTCGGGGTCCACTGCAGTCTTTTTCTAACTCACCTCTTCCAGCAGCTAGTCTTGCTGTGCTCCATTCTGCTCCTGATTCTGAAATTATTTTTAATATTTTTTTTAATGTAAATCTCACCTATCTTCCTCTTACACCCTTCACAGGCTTTCCCTTGCTCTTGGGCTGATGGGAATGACTACTGTTTCTCTCTGCCCTCATCTAGTTCCGCCACCCCCTCCTCCTCCATTCTTTACCACAGGGTTCCTGGTTCCTCCTCCCCTCTGGGTCTTTGCACAGACAGACCTTTCCCCTCCCTCTCTCTGCCTAATTAATTCCCATTTAACGTTCAGACTCAGCTCCAACATGACTTCTTTAGGGTTACATTCTTGAATCATCTCCTCAAAATAAGCCAAGTCCTCTAGATTTACATCTCCATGGCACTCTGCATTTTTTTCTTTTTAGAAATTGTATACTTATCCATACTAATTTGATTATTGACTCCGAGTGCAAATAAGTCAGGAACCGCATCTCTTTTGCTTACCATTTTATCCCGAAGACCTTGAGGTCCTCGCTCTCTATCAGCTATTGTCAGCTCTCACAAGCTCTGAGCACACTAGTGCCACAGACCACTGAGTTCACGCTCTGCGGGAAGGTGAGAAGGCACACGTGCCCCCACTAACCTAGGAACCCAGAATGGCTTCTGTGTTTTGCATCTCAAAAAAGGGTTAAAGTGTACATGAGATCACTCTACACAGGGTGAAAGGAAACAATTTATAGGTTACATAGCACAGGAGAAAAACTGCTTCCATGTGTGGAAGTCACCAACAATGTTACTTCCTGTGTTGCACCTTCAAGCACATTGGCTACAACCATCTGAGGATGTTAACTATTTCTTGTCTACTCTGTGCAAAGCAGATACCCATTCTATTTATTCTTTCATTCAAAAGCATGCATGGAATGCTGATTTTGTGCAAATGCACTGTGTAAAGTACTGTGGTGGACAGGCGATGGTTAATAAGAGCTACTGCTCGTGGAGGGTCTACCATGTTCCAGGACTATAAATTATAAGTGGCATTTACAAGCAACATTTCAAGTAAATTACCATCTTATGAAAAAGCAAACACTTAATAAACCATAATACAAAACCAAAAGAAGCAAGCAGGCCTTTATAATCTACATTACTTCAGGTCCTAAACGTAGTCCAAGTTAAAGGCATTTGAGAACTTCATGAGGTCTCAGAGTTCTAATTAAAATGTACTCTTCCAGGGTTCTTAATTACTCACCAGGACATGAAACTAATTACAGCTCCCAGTAGCCAAACACATTGGCATCTAGATTAGAAAAAAACAGTTCTTATTCAAACAATTGGTTATTTGGAAGATAATCTGGCTATCCTGCAGTGAAAAAAATCCAAGCACCATTTAGCAAAGAAATATTCATGGGAGTGCCTACCATGTGTTAAGCGCTGTAGACACAAAGGTGATAAAGTCATGAACCTGCCTTTAAGGTCAGGTTTAGGGGAGACTCATGAGATCAAGTAAGTGTTGAAAAGAGGCACTGAGTAGAAAGCGGGATGCAGGCCGGCACAATGGATTATACCTGTAATCCCAGCACTTTGGGATGCCAAAGCGGGCAGATCATCTGAGGTCACGAGTTTGAGACCGGCCTGGCCAACACGGTGAAACCCCGTCTCTACTAAAAATACAACAACGAAAAATAGTTTGGGGTGGTGGCTCACAACTGTAGTCCCAGCTACCCAAGAGGCTGAGAGTCGAGAATCACTTGAACCCGGAAGGTGGAAACTACAGTAAGCCGAGATCACATCACTGCATTCCACCCATGGAAGGCAGGCCAGGAGCTGTGTCAGCAATGACCGCATTGAGGAGGTAACACCTCAGTTGAATCTTGAAAGGTCTATCCATCGAACAGATGGAAGGTGAAAAAGGAGCATGGACAAAGACACAAAGGAATATAACAACATGGAAGGTTGGGCAAACAGTCAGCAAGGCCAGGCCTGGGTTACTCACAGGGTTAGGCAATGGGAAGCCACACAAAGATATTTTTTAACCAGCTGAATTTTTTAATTTGTGCATGAAATATTCATAGCAGCACTGCTGACAAATAGCGAAAGGGCAAAACAACTCAAATGTCCATCAACTGATGAAAGGATAAACAAAATGTGGTATATCTACACAATGGAATATTATTCAGCCATAAAAAGGAATGAATTCTGACACATGCCACAACATGGATGAGCTTTGAAAACATGCTAAATCAAAAAAAGCCAGACACAAAAGGTCATGTATTTTAAGTGTCCATGTATCTGAAACATCCAGAATAGGCAAGTAGATAAAGAAAGCAGATTAGGGATAATCGCAGAAGAGAAGAGAGGGAATAAGGAGTGACTGTTTAATAGGCAATAAGCTTCCATTTGGGGTGAGGAATATATTCTTGAACTAGATCATGGTCAGTGTGGTGGTAGTTGTACAACATTCTGAATACAATAAATGACACTGAATCATACACTTTAAAATGGCAAATTGTATGTTATGCATCTTTTACTGCAATTAAGAAAAAATATAAATTTTAATATAAAATAAATTGGTTTTAAATTATAAAAGCAATACAAAAAAAATTTTTTTTCTGGTAAAGAATTCAAGAGTGAAGTTTAATTGGCTACTATTTAAAAGCATGTGACCTCATGGATCAAATGCTTTATCAAATGTGTGAATGTTAAATAATTTTTGATATTACACATAAACCACACTAAAATGCCTTTCAATAAGTAAAAGCAACCATTTTAAATACAGGGAATTCTAATTAGATTAGCATAGTTAAGGCCAAAAATATAAAGTAGCCATTGCTACCCATTTATCTTCAACCCTTGCCTTTAAGAGGCAAATGAACACAAAACACAGGTGAATCTTGCTTGGTTCTAAGACAGTGAAGGAATTTCCCTCATATTTAAAAATATTCACATAACCAGTTATATGAATCTAAATATAAAACCAATCTCCAGTAAGTTTTAAGATGGCACTCACTATCCCTGTGAAAAGTTTAACATTATTAATGAAGTCTGACAATATCTTTAGAAGGGGTAAATGGTGATAGCATTTACTAAATTGGAATTACTATTAAAATTCCGAAACTGAACATATTTATTTAACCATAAGCCAGTCTTAGTTTTAAATCAGGACTGCCCAACAAAATATCCTGTCAGTCATTCATGATGTAAATTCTGGTGTATGAGATCTATTAAAGCATGGTACACATAAAAAAGTCCTGAGACATTTGTTTTGTAATAAATCAGACAGTGGCCAATTATTACTCATTAGTAGCTTTTTTGAGATAAGCTTTCAAGTCTGCCCTTTCTCCCTTCTTTTTAATGCCAGCAAAGATCATTTTTGTTCCAGGGATGTACTTCTTGGGATTCTCCAAATACTCCATCAGTGTATCCTCTCCCCAGGAGATGCCTTTGTTCTTACTGACATCAGTGTAAGTGAATCCAGAGGCCTGACCTGTCTTCCGCCCAAAGATACCATGGAGATAAGGCCCAGTCTTGTGCTTGCCTCCCTTTTCCACGGTGTGGCATTGGGAACACTTCTGAACAAAAATCTTCTTGCCTTTCTCAACATCACCCATATTTAATTCTCTTTTTGTGTCGTCGGCGCAACAAAGGTTACCGCTCGGAAGCTGGACATGCCTCTCTCTCAACACAGAAATGTTTAAAACTAGCATTACAAAAATAAAAATTATCCTCCATAACCCCAACTCTCCATTCCTACTCTACAAAAGTAATTATTTAAGTTTTTTATTTTAATATCGTCTTCCAGAACTATGTTTTATATACAAGTGTACAGGGATGCACATGTGTGAGGGTGAGGGGATGTATGATCTTATGATGCACTTTATTTTTCCATTTAAGCTTCTGGAGAATCTTGGAATTTAAAAATTCTTGTATCATTATATGTAAGTTGAGAAGAACTCACTTTAAATTGTATTACCTTGTGATTGCTTTGGCCTTCAATTTTTTTTTTTTTTTTTTTTTTTTTTTTTTTTTTTTGAGACGGAGTTTCGCTCTTGTTACCCAGGCTGGAGTGCAATGGCGCGATCTCGGCTCACCGCAACCTCCGCCTCCTGGGTTCAGGCGATTCTCCTGCCTCAGCCTCCTGAGTAGCTGGGATTACAGGCACGCGCCACCATGCCCAGCTAATTTTTTGTATTTTTAGTAGAGGCGGGGTTTCACCACGTTGACCAGGATGGTCTCGATCTCTTGACCTCGTGATCCACCCACCTTGGCCTCCCAAAGTGCTGGGATTACAGGCTTGAGCCACCGCGCCCGGCTTTTTTTTTTTTTTTTTAATTCATGAATCAATGGCCTGTAAATAAACTGACAATGACACAGTTGGGTGTTAGGGTGGGGTTTGCTAAGAAAGATTTGTTCTATCAAAATAATTTTTAAAAACCAGTTATATGATGAAAAGAGAGCATTGTGACCATAGCAATAGCTCCCACAGTGGCATCAACCTGAACAGGATCATGACAGCAAGAGAAAACATGAGAGGTGAGGATGGTAAAATAGTTCCAGGTAATAATGCGTGAGTGACTAATTTACAAGAAGAAAACTGCATTTCACAGTCAGAGACACCAACTTCAACAGTCAAAAAGGTTTTGAAAAACAGATCTCAAACAGAAGTTAAATTGAAAAACATAAGTTATTCTTTCGAGTTAATAAGTTAGTGTGATAAAGTCAACTAAATCATATTTTCACTAAGGAAAAGGGAGAAGCTTTTTGGAAGGTATGAAACAAGGTCAAAGACAGGTGTGAAGCAAGATCTTTTGTGAGACAGTCAACATTTAGTGCTTAATCTTAGAAAATGCATCAGAAGGCCAGGCGTGGTGGCTCATGCCTCTAATCCCAGCACTTTGGAAGGTCGAAGTGAGTGGATCACCTGAGGTCAGGAGTTCAAGATCAGTCTGACCAACAGAGTGAAACCCCATCTCTACTAAAAATACAAAATTAGCCAGGCGTGGTGGTGCATGCCTGTAATCCCAGCTACTCAGGAGGCTGAGGCAGGAGAATCACTTGAACCCGTAAGGCAGATGTTGCAGTGAGCCAAGATGACACCATTGCACTCCCGTCTGGGCAACAAGAGCGAAACTTCGTCTCAAAAAGAAAAGAAAATGCATCAGAAGAGATGAGTCTATCTCTACCTGTAGTCTTAGGAATTGAATCTGTACTAACAACTTAAGTAAGGGAAGCTATTTCTAAATCTGTTTCTTGACTGTCAAATAAAATTGCTATATGATGACTTGAGGAGTAAAAAAACCTCATGCTATTTAGTCATCACATTTTTATTTCAGGGTTAGAATCAATACTCTGAGTCTCAATTTCCTTATCAACAAGGAAAACAGTTTCAGCTCACCAAGTCATCATGAGAATTACTGACATAATTCATGAAAAGCATTCAGCACAGGGCTTAGCACATAACACGTGTTCAATAAATGTTCAGTAGTATTATTGTTGTTAATATGGTCAATATCATCAATGTGCCTTTTGTCTAGGAGTTTATAATTCAGTGTCATAGGCAACAAGCCAAATGCAATGTATAAAGCTGATTTACACACAAAATATATTCCTTTTAAATCATGTTATAGAGTATTTTAATGCACAACTGCTTAATATGAGATGTGCTGCTAATATATTAATTGATCAAACTTCTAAAATCATATTTTAAATGTACTTGAGTGACCAAATGAGAATTCATCTTTTTTTTTCAACTTTTACTTTAGACTCAGGGAGTATTTGTGCAGCTTTGTTATCTGGGTACACTGGAAGTCTGGGGTACAAATGACCCTGTTGCTCAGGTACTGAGCATAGTACCCGATGGTTAGTTTTTCAGTCCTTGCCCCTCTCCCTCCTTCTCCCCTTTAGTAGGCTCCAGTTTCTATTACTGCCATCATTATGTCCATGAGTACTTAATGTTTAGCTTCTGCTAGAAGTGAGAACATGCCCTAGGAGAATTTATGTTGTACTTTGTTTTTTAGTGTCTCAGATCCACCAGGAAAGAATGAAACATTGTTCTCCTTCCTAGAGAGGAAGCGAGATATCAAGACCATTGTAGCCACAGCTGTCTCTATAAATTGTTCTAGAACAAACTGAGCACCAGGTGTGGAGTAGCCGCTAAACTGTCCTTGGGAAGGTCCTTTCCAGCCTGGACAGGACAGGGAGTGATGGCAGTTACTCAGCACTCAAATGCAGCATCACGTGGACACAGGAACAAGGGCAGCAGCGGCCACTGCGGACTTAGTGATAAGGGGTTGTACTCATTTTAAGAACTGCACATCTGGAAGATCCTTTTCAAAACTGAAGGGAAGTTCCATGAAGGCAGTGGCTTTGCCTTGTTCACCGCTGTAGCCCCAAACAAGAACAGTCCCTGTACCGCAATAAGCAATCCATATCCAGGAATGAATGAAGGCTTGGATCATGAAAGCCTCCAGGAATCTTTGTGAAGTAGGAGGAAAAAAAAAAAGAGGTCCCAAAATGACTGATAGTTGACTTTCCAATAATTGTGGGAGATAGGACTCAAACTCCTTCTCTTAAAATTTGGTAAATGAAAAACAAAAGTGACATTAATAGCACTTGGTTTGTCAGATAAATAAATATATTTTTGGCCTACTAATCACTGAAAGCAATTAAATTAAAAGCAAACAAGGATGTTGTACAGATAAAAGAGTTCTACGTGAGATGCAGGATTAGCTAATATAGAGGTTTTTGACATTTTAAGGTTACTTACCTTCTGAGATCGGATGAAAGCTACGAAGCCCTCCACAGAAAATTCCATATGCAGACGCTGCACCAATCACAGGGGTAGGAGTGGGAGTGGAGTGTGGGAGAAAATGAGCAGAGCTTAATGGAGAACTCATTAAAGAAAAGCAGAATAAGAAGGGTCTGATGCCCCTTTTGAATCTATCTCAATCAGTCAAAACACCTCTTACCAACTCTATTGTATAAAGCACATGTGTATCTTCCTCTGGCCAGTTTTCTAAATTCAGAGTTATGCATATTGGTTAGGTTAGTTTAAGTGCCACTATTTTTGCACTGTTTGGAGAAGACTGTGGATTTAGGGGGACTTTCAAAATGTGCTTGAGTTTTGAGGTACTGGGAATCGAGACATAAAAATAGTTTTACTAACAAGAGCAACAAACAACACTAAAAGGAAAGACCAAGAAAAAGATGGTACAATTTCAATGGAGAAAGAACTAGGAGGCAAATAACAGGACACAGCAGACATTTTGGACAAGGCTACAGAATAAAGGGTGGGTTTTCTCTCAGGAATTCAAAAGCACACCAGGAGGCAGCACTGAGAAAGACAGTTCAGTGCTCAGGTGGCTGAAATGGTGACAAGAATCTTTTTTTTTTTTTTCTTTTTTTTTGAGATGGAGTTTCACTCTTGTTACCCAGGCTGGAGTGCAATGGCGCGATCTTGGCTCACCGCAACCTCCACCTCCTGGGTTCAAGCAATTCTCCTGCCTCAGCCTCCTGAGTAGCTGGGATTACAGGCACGCGCCACCATGCCCAGCTGATTTTTAGTATTTTTAGTAGAGACGGGGTTTCACCATGTTGACCAGGATGGTCTCGATCTGTTGACCTTGTGATCCACCCGCCTCAGCCTCCCAAAGTGCTGGGATTACAGGCTTGAGCCACCGCGCCCGGCCGACAAGAATCTTTAAATTAAGTCCAGAGACATAATAAATGCTGAAGAGGAAACAGGGCTGGATTCAAATCTCAATTCCATTCCTTCCTGGCTGTATCCCATCGGGCAAGGTACTTAATTTCTCTGTGCTCTGTGTTCCCTATGATTGAATAATTTTGAAGTACAACGCTTTACCTTGAGTATTTTGTTTTCAATGGTGAATCCATATTTCATGATGGTTTGACTGTATTGCTTATAACTGAGTCATGAGCCACAGAATCCAGTTCTTTAGTATATTAAACATGTTCCAGTTATTTAGTATATTAAATAGTGAGTACTATTGTGAAAGAGTAATTGAAGGTATTGCTAAAGTTTGGATGTTTGTCTCCTGCAAATCTCATGCTGAAATTTGATCCCCAATGCTGGAGGTGAGGATCAGTGGGAGGTGTTTAGGTCCTGCGGGCAGATCTCTCATGAACGACCTGATGCCACCTTCACAGTAATGAGGAAGTTCTCTCATTCTACTAGAGCTCTAAGGGAGCCTGGTACCTCCTCTCTCCTTCTGTTGCTTCAGCTCTCGCTGTGTTATTCACACACGCCGACTCCCCTTCACCTTCAGCTGGGAGTAGAAGCAGCCTGAAGACCTCACCAGAAGCAGATGCTGGCAACGTGTTTCTTGTACAGCTTGCAGAACCATGAGCCAAATAATCCTCTTCTCTAAAAAGTACCCAGTCTCAAGTATTCCTTTATAGCAAAACAAATGGACTAAGACAGACATTATACAGGTAGCGGAATGCAAAAGAGTAATCTCCAATTCTTGTGTTTCAGTTAAAACAAAAACCTCTTAAAAAGTAACATTTTCAAACCAGAATGGATTTCATCACTAGAAAAAACAACTTCTGAACTTCTATATTTTTGTGCAACAAAAATCGCTCTTGAGACACAGTACACAAAAATGCATTTTAGAAATATTCTCAACAAAGACTAAGACAAATTGTGCTACAGCTGCTATAATTTTGGTAGTATTCATTCAGTTAACAAGTACTTACTGAGCACCTATGCCATTTGCAAGATCTTGTGCTTG